CGGCTATCTTAAACTCTAATATTACAGACTCAATCTAATTGAAACAGAGTTATTACAATACAAAACAAGTCTTCAACACTCTAAGTCTTTGAGTTCTTGAATCATCATCAAAATCAACAATCTTCATGTTCAACAAGTGCAACATCAAGTCCTTGAATGTTCAACAAGTATGTTTAATCGGGTTTCTAAGACTGAAGTCCTAAAGTCGATTAAATTTTTGTCCTTTTTTATACGTTCTTCTTTTTCTAAGAAAGTAGGTATATCTTGTATTTCTGTTTTTATTTTTAAACAAATTAAGCAGAAATTTTTGTAACAAAGGGGACAATGTACCCTTTGGGATATGTGAAAGTATCTTTCACAGTATTGACAAGGAATAGATTCTGGTCTTGAAAAGAATTGCACGTTATGAGAACATGGATTCTTTTCATTTATATTCATTAAACCATTACCTAAATAGTTTAATGTTTCAACTATGTTTAGAAGAAGTTTAGGATTTTGTAGACTTGACTCTAAAAAAACAAACTATTGTCTAGTGTGGGATCTTGGTTGTTGCTAAGAACAACATTTTGTGATGATTCTATTGATTTTGTATCAACAGAAATATCTTGTATACTATCATATTCCATCTGATAGTTGTGTGGTTGGAAATCATTTATTCCTACACTTGTATTTTCTAACCCTACTGTTGGTAAGGGTTCAAAAACTATGGATACATTATCTAATGTATCACTTTTTGTGTTGTCTATCGTAGACAGGGGTTCTAAACCTAAAGATACATCAACCAGTGTTTCTTTTGGTTCATCATTTGTGTCTGCTAACCTTAATATTGATAAGGGTTCTGAGGCTTTAGATAAATTATCCAATGTATCATCTTCTTCACTTGGATAAAAATCATCTAAAAATCCTTTTATAATATCATCAAAAGATACACTATCCATTATATCTTCTTCACATCCTATGGGATTTATCATAACAATATTTTCATTGTTAGGGATAGTAGAAATACTATGCCTATTCTCAACTGACCTATCTTGTTCTAGGTCTAGGTTTGATAGGGTTTTGGAGAACCAATCCTGTAGTTCTTTGTGTTCTACTAACAAGTCATCTAAGGCATGTTGGTAGGATTTATGTGTAATTGGGTTAGCTAAGTAACCCCAAGGGTTTTTTCTACGTGACTTAAAGTATCTCATATACTTTATATTGTCAGTTAGTTTTATCAAACTTTTTAGTTTTCTAGAAACCTCTTCTAGAATAGCATGTATGGTGATTTGAAATAGACTTTTTAAATCCCACTAGAGGATATTTCATAATTTGTTCAACAGCTATCAAATCTGTTTTGTAATCTTTATCTAAAAGATTTTGTTCAACAGCTATCAGAGTTGTTTTGTAGTATGTGCCTAAAAAAGGTTGTGTACTTTCCATTAAAATTTTTTAAAATAAAAATATATTGTAAAAAAAACGGTAAATCGAGAAGAAAGCAAGAAATCAGTGGAGAGGAATAAGGGGATCAACGGAATACACTTGTAAAGCAATATTTATAAAAGAATATAGATAATCATAAGGCTTAAAAGAAAATCTTTTTGTTGTTTTTATTAATTTTTTATTTTTATGTTTTTTTTTATAAGTGATAAAATGAAAAACACATAAGTAACAAAAGAAGGAAAATGATATACAAGAAAATATTTTTGCAAAGACTCGTCGCAATATGCAAAGTATTATTCAACCCACAAAGGTAGCGTCGCAGGACTTAGGGTTCTCGTAGCACTCACTCGGCCTTAACCTCGCCCTACTACTGATCTGGATATCCTAGCGAATACAAACTAGTTCAATTGTAAATATATTCGAGTAACCGAGGATTAACCTCGCTCCGATAGCTGAAAAAATTATTAATATATTTTATTAATTTACAAAATTTATGGTAAATTAACTTAGAATAGTTTGATTAATCTTATAGCAAGTAAAATTTTAAAATAAATTATAATTTTTAGTTTAGTGGGACTTTATATTAGTTCAATGGCTTGACAATGAAATTTAATTTGATTAAAAAAATTTAAAATAAAAAAATAATAATAAAAAATGAATTTTTTAAATTTAGAATATATTAATAAAATTAGTTTTTATTTAATAATTTAGTACATAAGAATATATTAATTGGGAGATATTTAGTGAAATACTTAAATAAAATATTAATTACTTCAAACACATTTTCAGTAGAGAAATCTCATGAGACATAACAAGTTGTTTAAACTGTTTTGATAATTATTTTATGAAATAACTTATAAAAATAAACAAAACAAAGTAATTAAGTAGAAAGAACAAGAGAAGATACGAGTTCTTTAAAATTTATTAAGAAATTTTTATTTGAGTAAAATTAATGATTAATTGTTTAAAAATGGTGTAATAAAACAAATTTATATTTTACATTTTTCTTTTTTCTTTTTTAAGACAATAAACAAATTATATGAGTTGGTCTGAATATATCATAAGAAAAAAATCATTCAATTTTAAAATAAGAATTAAAAATTTACTCTTCATTATCATTATTATTTTGTAATCATTTATTGTTTTTTAATAATTTATTGATCTAATAGTAATTAATCTTGATAATTAGATTTTATAATAAGTGATTATTAAAGAGTTACTTTAATGTTTACTCTTAAAATAAATTAATCTCTTATCAAATTAATAATTTATAATATATATATATATATATATATATATATATAAAATAATATAAATTTAATATTTATTTAAAGAATAAGTATTATCTCAATCCATAAATCTATGAATTAGTTTGATCTAAGCCTAATAAGTGATCATCTAATCGAACAGAGTAAAATAGACTTTATTCAATTTAGGATACAAAATTTTTAATCTACTCTTATCTATTTTTTGGATCTTTCTTTATTGGGTTAAGTCTATTTTGATATGTTTAATTGATATATATCATCAAATTGAAATAAAATTTGTAAAAAATAAAAATAACCTTTTAAGTAAATGTAAAATTTAGTCTTAAGACAGGTTGCTAACTCTTAATTTGATTCATATCCTTACAATTTTATCAAATTAATCTGTATATGTGCCAACATTATCTATTTGATATAAGTGATTACAGTTTTTACATATTCTTCTTAATCTAGTTTTCATACTTAAATTTGATTTATGAAAGTGAAGTAAATTCTTAATGTGATTCTAAATGTAACACGTCCTGATAGCGGGGCAGACTATTAATGTTTGCATATAACAACTAATTTATATAAGAACTAAATTAATTTGTAACATGTCATGTATGCAATTTAAATTGTTTGTTTATTTTTGGTTTTGTTAAGAAAGAGTCTTATATGTAAGATGGAATTTGTGAGCTACAAAAAAAATGCCTAAAATTTGTTTTGTGTGTGTGTGTGCGCGCTTTATAAGCGATGGTGACGGTTTCTAGAAATCTAAATAAATTTTTGTTTCGATTTTTAACGGATTATCCCTTGTTTGTCGATGTTTAAATAGATACGTTAAAATTATATTTAACAAGCTCTAATAGTAGGGCTTAATACTGCACACTATGCGAAAATGCATGCAAACATGCGTGGTCAGAGTCTCTCACTTGAAGGATAATGTGCCCAAAACGAAGTATTCTTATCCAATGGAACCCACCGATAGATGAAATGAGAGCTAACAAAATGGATCGGTCTAGTCAGGCCGCGAAAAAGGATTTAGACTAAGTTTGAGTTAAACGTCAAATCCCAATCCAATCATTGTCGAATGCTAGTTTAGCCCACAAAAGCCCTAAAAAACCAAGCCTTTGTAGGACTTGGGCTTCAATTTTTAGGCCTGAGTTCAATTTGGGCTTTACTGGACCAGCCCACCTGTATCAGGTCAGCCTACATTGAGCCCGGTTTTTGTATTGCTACCGCTAGATGAAATGCAACAGTGATGGATCAGTGTGCAGCCACATGGCTGCCTGTGGAGGTGAATTCAGAGACAGATTTTCATAGCCTTAAAGGCTAAACTTTGGGGGATTTTGACAGCTTTGACAGTTGCATGGTCCAAGGGAATCAAACAACTATCTATTGATTGTGATTCAATCTAGCAGTCCAGCTTTCCACTCATGGTTGCAACCAGCAACAGCCTCCATGGATGACGGTCCATAAAATACGTTCTTCTTCTCTTACTTTGCACATTTCCTTACTAATTAACTGTATTATGCAATATTTCAAGCAACTGAAGCACCTTCTGTCCAGGTAAATTGGCTAGTTATAGAGTGATAACATAGGCAACATGGTTTTAATTTCAAAGTTCAACCTGCTCATATTCAATTTTTGACAATTTGAATCAGTAAACTGTTGACAGAACACTCGAATGACAAAAAGGTAAAAGGAACCATCGTCAGAAGATTGATGAATCAGAGTCACAGAAAGAAGTTCAAGATACAGTGCGTTTTCCAGAACACTTTTGATTAGAAGCAGCCACCCAACTGCCAAAAGTCCACAAGTTTAAATTAGTAACAGAAATAAACCAAGAGGCAAGAAAAATTAATTTGATTCCCAGTTATCAGGTAGTGATCAATCAATTAAGCCATACTTAGCCAGGCTAAATCCAAAGATGATTTATATTTACAAAAAATAAGTAAACAAGAAAAACACATGCATATTCTAGGAGGAAGAACTGTTCTTCCTCCATGAAAATATTCACTATTTGTCCGGGTGTGTGGTTCTACTGTGGGAACCATGCACATCCAACAGGTGGTATTCTCCTGGAGTAAGTTCTCAAGAAGCCTGACTGGTAGCAAACTTCAATAGTAGCTCATGCAAGGGTAAGTAGGGTCCTAACCCAGTAACCCTTTGTCAGTTTATAATTTGTTATGAGCAAAAGTAACAAGTATAATCAGAAAAGGTGAAAAACCTAGCACTAAGAAGGACACTTTCCATACCAAAACTGCTTCGATTTCTTCCTTGGACACTGGAGTTCTTTTGGGCTGAAGAGAGGCCTTCCCTCCCACTGTTGCGGAAGCATTTGAACTTGAAAAAAATGATAAATTAGCATCACTAGCTGAAGATGAAGCTTGAGTCTCAGAAGCAGAACCTGCAATGAAATTTTTCAATAGAATTGGTAATTGAGGAAACAACTCAGTCACTCGTCTAGAGGATCCAACTATTAACAATCACAACCATAATTTTCAAAGTAGATCCAACTGGCCCAAACCGACAACTCGGGAGTTCATAACCAGTTATGAACCAGTCACGAATTATGAAGCAATTTTTCAAATAGTGTAACTATTTATTACAACTTTTCATCTTCTAAAATATGTAATACCATCTTTATATGTTAATAAAAAAATTTACAGTAAATAATCTAAGTATTGAAAGTGCAAATAAGCTTTACATTATTATCCAATTACCAGCTGTTAGACATGATAAGTTTCTTTACATTTATAATAATTACTTTATATGTCATATCAATTATGAACAGTGACTTTTCATTGTTTGGCACAATGTAAAACTTTTTACACTAACAATGCGTAACCATTTATTCATCACTAAACTGATTACAGTTTAATCACGAAGAAACAGCTGTTCCAATTTTAAAATCATTTATCATCAAGACAACAACCACTTAGCCATAACCCATCAGATTGGTTAGCTGCATGGATCAATAACCAACTCTATTAGACTCAACCAAAAAAACATATTCTCAATAAATACATTCTGAGCTCTTATCATTCACAACATAATCATCAAATTGAAAACCTAGATTGAACAAAAAATAAAATAAAATAAAAAACTGTAAAAAATATAATTAAAACCCACTAATCCTTCCTGATATTGAATATGCGAGAAGTAAATATTCTTCAAAATTTTGGGGCTTCAAGCAAAAGTTGGGAACAGGTTACTCTCATAAAACCATATAATCGGCATGACACGATAAAGCTTGTATAGAATAATAGGCATAAAACCATATAGCATCGCAGTAAAATGATACACCGGACAATATGTGAACGGGTTACTCTCGTAATTTAAATCTGGTTCTTGTTCAAACTCAAAATCAGCTTGTGAGGTGATGATTATCTCTGATTTAGATGTACTCCTTTGTCCTTATATCTAATCAACTTGGAACTTTGGTCTTTTTTTTCGATAATTAAGCTCGTCATATTGATTGATTGCGGTGGAAAATTGCAAGGAAATGAATGAAATACTCACAGAAAATGGAAAATGGAGAAAAATTGAAGGGGAGAGAGAGTGTCCTGACCAGAGGCAGAGGATCTGGGATGTCTGTTGGGAAAGTTGATGCGGGGGATTCGCTTCAATGCCTGAGCTCCACCCATGGCTTACACTGGGCTGCTACAAACTCACTTTCCGGTTCACAATCTAACAAACAAGTTTCACAATTCTCCATTATATTGCCATACATGTAAAGCATCTCCATTCTCCACCCTCCATCTTTGGGCCTCACTTTTGCACCCAATATGCTATGAAATAACTTTTTTTTTCAGAGAATGATTAATAGAAAACCCAATTTTTTTACTCAACCCATCAACATTAAAAAAATAATAATTTAAAATTAATTTTGTTTTTATTTAATTATTTTATGAATATAATATTAATTTATGGGATTGTCTAAATAGATGTATTTTTTTTAAGGTGGGTGTAAAATATCCATTTTTTTCATACCTTCCTATTTATTTATTTTTTATAATAAGGGTGTATTTAACTTGGATATTAAATATTATGTAAGGATGTAGTGATTTTGTTTAAAATGAATTTAAAAAACTTTTACAATTAACATTTCGTAATTTGAATTTTAAAAGACTTATAAGTTATAAAATTAATAAATTTTGGAAGGATATTATGGATTTACAAATATTTAAATAATTTATCTAATTAATTATAAATAATTTTGTATTTCTTATACTCAAATGCATAGTTAATCATTTTGTTGTTTATCATATATTGTTTTTAGATAGATGATAAAATGTTAATCATGTTTAATAATTCAGTATCATAACTACACTAAATTTGTAAATAATAAATTTTAAAACAATTATCACAATATATAAAAAAAATAACAGATAAATTACAAAGTTTATAATAAATATAAAAGATAACAAAAAAATTATAAGGTTTATATTAAAAATGTAAAATCAATTTAAATTATATAAAAAAATTATTATTATTATTATTTATAACATTTTTCACTTTATATAGGTGTCTTATCATTTCCTTGTTATTATTTTTAGATTTATAATAAAACAACTTTTTTTATAGAATAATTATGAATCTTAAATAGGTTAGATGTTAATTCTTTTTGGTGTATATCGTGTATTTTATTAGGCAGAGTACATTAGTTTATTCACTATTTTAAAAAATATTTATATATTAAAATAAAATTATAATTATAAATATTAATTTTTTTCATATTATTAAAAATATTATACTATTTAATTTAAATTATAAATATTATTTAAATAAATTTAAATTATTAATTATAATTAAATATTTTAATAAAATATTATATTTTTCTAATTTATTTTAATAAAATTATTTATTAATAAAAATGTTATTCATATGTACTTTTAAATAAAATAAAATATTAACTTAGTCCGCTAACTTATCTATCCCTTCTTTAACGAATTATATTAAAATATATAACTTATTTTCATGTAATTTATCTTTTATTACGAAGATGACTCGACTGAAATTCTTTTAACAAAATTAGAGACGAGTAAAAATGGATGAATTTACCAATTTTATCATCCTTCAAAATAACATCTACCTTGATTATTTTCTAAGTCTTTTGGAATAAGAAATAAAGCAAAAATTTAATAGAAATTACATTGAAATCAGTTATTTGTAACTTTTTCTGTCTATTTCATATCTAAACAAAGAAAGTTTTCTCATGTATTTATTTTTTCACATTAAATGCACAAGAACATAGCTATGCCAAACTCACAATTATTACAGAGAGTGGGTAACAAAAGTTAACTATGGTTTGGAAACATAATCATATTGACTTAATCTAAATCAAAAGCGCGTTGCACACAATTTCTCCACGACCAATTCTTGGTATCACTTTCTAAGATGCCGTGATATGATATTAACAAGAGACTGAAAAAGAAAGTAATGGAAAAAGAGTCAATATGATTACATTTTTTTCAAGTAAAAAACAGAAATTAATTTCGTAGATTATAACACTTTTCCATTTTCAACACGCGATTTCTTAGAATGTTTGACCAACTTCCACTGTGTATATATGTCTGCATTAGTTTTTTAGAATAAAAAGTATAAAGAATTTCATTTTATATATAAACTTTATAAAAATTATACGAAATTAATACATGTATTTAACTTTTGAGGAAGTTAATATAGTTTTTTTTTCTTATTTTTCTATAGAAGTGTATAATTTTATTTTTTTTACAAATATTCAATTATTCATGGCCTTTTTTACACGGCACAAAACTTGATAACTCAGTTGTCACACTCACTTATGGCATCACACAAAGACTTACAAGGTAAATTAGGTGATAATTTATCAGGCAATTTGGGAGAGAGACTTCGAATACACCACTTAAATTTCATCCTCCATAAGTGCATTCCAACATTGATAAAACAAGAAGAAATTAGGTACAGTGAAAGAGACTAATCTTCTCTAATATTACTAATTTAAGATTTGATTTTTCAATGAAAGAAGGATGCTGGTGAAAGTAAATAAATTAAAAGGTTTGTTTTTCTTTTGCCTTTAAACATTTTTGGATTTTTTAGTTTTAGTTTTCAATCAAAATTTTAATTGGTCTAAATCAAATTCTTTTGTTAACATTTTTAATCTCTGTTATCAATAGTAATGATAACTAATAACGTAACTATTGCACTCCAATTATTTTATCAACATGTTAGAACAAGTTTCTATATATATGTTTATATATATAAAAAAATAATCTAATTTTCTCTAGAAATGCTAATAGAAAAACTAGTCACTTCTTGAACTGGTCACAAGCTTGTGTCAATTCAGCTGAACATGTAAAATACTAATAAAGCCCTAACCCTATACGATTATTGACCCTTTCAACTTTGAGAGTATAGTTATTTGAAGTTGAGCACAAAAGAGAAGCAAAAGTTTCCTGGTTAACGAGCATAAAAACAAATGTTAAGGAAGCATCTGATTGGATATTCAATCACTTGAATCTTGACTAAACATTTCTAGTCATGACTAAGTTCATGCCTAGGTCTCCCATTGGCTAACAAAATTTCCAACTCAACTTAAACACCTTTTACTATATTTTTCTTTGCCTGACCCAGTACACACTTCATGCTATATTACTACTCAAACCAACCCTAAATTATCACTATAAATTCACTCTTCCATGCCCCTATTCCTCAAACATTAATCAACCCTTCTTCCCTTTCTCTGATTCTATCTTCCACTTTCTTGATAAAACTCAACACCCATTAAAGAATGATTCGCTCTATATTTGCTTGTTTTAATGGAAAAGTGTCACATAAGAAAGCAAAGGTAGAGCCAGTAGATGTAGAAGTCACAAAAACTGTTTACAGAGATGAGTTGACAAAAAAAGAAAGGGCAAGGAAGGTGAAGAAAACTGTGAGGTTTGCAGAAAAAGAAGCTACCATTTTGGGAGAAGATGATGAAAAGGAGTTTGAGAAAAGAAGGTGTGAGAGTGGTGGTAACGAGGAGGGAGAAAAGGAAGGGATGAGAGTGAGGGTTAAATTGACAAAGGAAGAAGCTGCAAGGTTGCTATCAAAATGCAATGGAGGAACTCTCCAATTCAAGGATATTGCTCATGAACTCGTGTTCATCCCTGTTAACCGAGTTTGCATATTGTCCAATGCTGCTAACACTTTGTAGTAGTCACTGGGTCTTGCAAAATTCTTCATTAGGATCATTGCAATGCTTCTCTTTCTCCCATGATGATTGCATTTTGTACAAAAGAAGATATCATATATTAGGACTCAGGATAATTGTTCAGGGTTTCATTGTATTAATGTTTTGGAAGGACAATGATGAATACAAAGTAGACCATTTAAAAACATATTGATGATTGACTCTTTAAAAAAAAAATACTTTATTAAAAAAAAACAGAGGAAAACATCTCTAAACCATAGAAAGAAATTTCAAACCATTATATAACATATTTTAAGAGAAAATTACAGTAACTATTTTTGAATATCCTTAAATCAAATTACATACATATTTTTTAATGTTTAAAGTGTTGGAGTAATGCTTTTAAAATTTTATATATATATATATATATATATATATATATATATATATATATATATATATATATATATATATATATATTAGTAACTGCACAAAGAAAGCCATTTCAATTTTTCCTACTTAAAAAAAAAAGTCTGATCTGTGGTCAATACAAAAAATTGACCATGTACCATTCGACAAGACTTTTCAATTGTTTTCTCAGAACAGATTTAAAGTGCTTGAGAACAGCTAAATCAGTGGGGTTTTTTTTTTCCAAAATAACATTATGAAAAATTTAATTTTTTTAAACATAAACTATTTCAGTTTAATTTTTTTAATTTAAAAAGTTTTACATATTCCATCTCTATTAAAAAGTAACTTTATAAATTAAAAATAATGTAAAATAAATTTCCTTAACTGTGGCCTAAACATACAAAGAGTCTGGCCCAAGTAAAAAAGAACAACCCAAGATAGCAAATTCGGTGGCAATGTAGTCTTTTTTTTTTTTTTTTTTGGGACACAACCACACTGGTTTAGGGTTCATTTGATTTAGTTAATTAGCAGAAGCAGGGGCAAAGGATTACAACAGTCCAAATTTCTTGCTTTGACACTAGACCAATTTCTAACAATGGAATAAAGAAAGTCTTAGTAAAGTAGCAAACTCAAGGTAAAACAAACTTACCATTCAAATTAGGTCATACTAAGCTTGATTTTCATCAGTATTAAAGTTTTTCATTAATAGACTAATTAATTAAAAAAAATACAATTTCAAATGGTTTGAGCCTACAGATAAACTAGCAAGTCTAAATATAATTTCAAAATATTACATTAATTTTTTTTATTATTAATTAATTAGTTATTTCAGTACATTTATAAGGTTTTTAAAAGCATTAAAATCTTGATTTTTAATTTTTTTTTTTTTTTACGAAACTCATTTCAAAACTGTTTCAAAGAAGTTTAATCTTAAGTAAGTCTGATATGATTATGAAATGGACAATTTTATCTATAATATAATTTTATGGTCAAATAAAAATATTTGATGGCTATATTTTAAAATGGAAGTATAATTTAAAAAAATATATATTTATATCAAAATAATGAATACTCAAATAAATAAATATTTTTAAAATTTAAATTATTTTAATAAAAATAATTTTTATTTTAAATATAATAATTTAATATATAAATAATAAGATAATAGATCTATTTAATCTTAAAATAAAAATTTAAAATTTATTTTTTTATCATTATTATTTATTTATTGATATTAAATAATAATTAATCTTAAACCGACAATTACTTTATTACCTATTGTTAAATAAATGGATTTTTTAAAATAATTATATATATATATATATATATATAAAAATAAAATTATATTTTTTTAAAATTAAAACGACTCATAAATCTAAACGTTAGCATGATCTAAACTTATATAAGACATAATATATATGATTTAATTTAACTTAATTTTTATATTTTTAATTTAATATATTTTTCGGATCCACCTATTTTGATTTCCTTATTCATAAACCTTATATATATTTTTCTTTTTCTTTTTCATGCAAAATAATTTATTTATTTTTTAAAATAACTTCCATGAAACATTTAAACCTAACTTGAAATTTATAAAATAATATTTTTAATATAAAATAATTACATGGTAATTATAAAAACAAGATTTTTAATTAAATGTATATTGTTCATATCTTATAAAAAAAAAATACACTAGTTAGTAGAGTAAAAATTGAACTTTGATAAACAATTTGTTATTGTTTAAATTTAGTTTTTTACAGCTTTGTTATCAAATTAATGAAATGAAAACTTAAGCTCGGATTTTATTATTAATATGAAAAAATTAATGAAATGAAAACTTAAGCTCGGATTTTATTATTAATATGAAAAACAAATTCTACCCTAAACAATTATAATAATGAATAATTTTAATATCTCAACTAATAAATTCAGACATAATACTTAATAAATTCAGTACTGTTTAGATTATTCTATGAACTCGATTGATCACTCTTAAATTTACTCTATTATGTAAGTTAATATAAAAAACTGAGATAATAAAAAAAATATTTAAATAAAAAAATAATTTATAAAAATAAAATAATTTTATTTATAAGTATTTTATTAAAATATTTTAAATAATAAATTATATTTATTATAATATTAATAATTATCTTTTAAATATATTTATAAATCATTATTATAATATATATTTAAATTAATTAATTATAAGAATATTTATAATTTTGTATTAGAAACACTTAATTATTCTTTAAAATTTATAATTCAATCCAAGCCCTGTAAGATTTCTTATCCTGATATCACCTAATTTGGTAGAAAAATAAATTAAGTTTGACAAAGGTTCTAAATAGTCTCTTTTTAGGAAATTTTATATCCTACATAAAATGATCAGCTACCTGTCAACTAACATTGGTGTCTATGAATTAAATTAACTACATTTTATTTAAAACATATGTCTGAAATTAAAATATACGTAAATTTTTTATGCTGTATTTTATTGTTTGAAAGAAATTTCTAACCCATTTCACGTCTTAAATTTTATTATCTATTTTGATTATTTTATCTTTTTTATTATTATTTTTAGTAACAAAATTTTGGGATTCTGCTGAAAAAATTGTAATAATTTGTGATTAAATAAATATGAAAAATTATCATTTTTTTTCAACTTATTGAGCTAATTAAGTGAAATCGAGTCATTTTATTAAAAATATAAAAAAAAATATGAATAATGTGAAAATCTTGGTTATTAAATAATTTTGTCATTTATTTACTGTGAACTAAAACCGATACAAATTGGAATTGTTTTATAAATTTGCATTTTCTCATTGGTTTAGTATGAACTAAAACAAATACAATATGAAATTGTTTTATAAATTTGCATTTGTCCAGTTTGTTGACTATGAGATAAAACAAATACAATGTGAAATTGCTTTATAAAGTTGTATTATATGTATAATAGTTGTTGTTGGATTATTGTAATGAAAAATTAAGGATGTAGAGTATTTTAATTTAGTAAATACACATTTAATTAAACCTATAAATATTATAAATGTATTTTTGTTTCGGTGGAATTTTGATCGATTCCGATTCTTAAGAGATTTTGTTCTAACCAAAATTCAACCACGCAAGTTCTTTTTACTTAGGCTAGCAAATGTTTTTTCAATCGAGATGCATATGAGAATCGAAAATATCACAATATCGAGAAAATCCCACTAACGTGTCATGACTTATCGAAAGCACTATTTTTGGTATTTTGTATTTATAGTACTCGAAGAGAAAAAGGGCAGTAAAGTATCAAATCAAAAAAGCAGTACCGAATATTAAATTGCGAAGAAATGTAAAGTACGGAAACCTTAAACTTGCATTAAGTGTAAACGACAAGAAATCGAAATTGCGGAACTAACGGGAAATCGAGATTGCAGAAATGTAAATGGTAAGAAATCGAAATACGCAGAAACAGTAAATAACTGGAAATCGAATTTGCATCGAAGTTAAAGGACAAGAAATTTAAATGCAGAAAACTTAACTTCCATTAAGCTGAAATTGACCGAGAATCGAAAACACAGAAACTTAAAGTTGCTAAACATAAAATGCATCAAAGTAAATTACCAAGGAAAATAAAGAAAGCGGTAAAGGTACTCAATGAGCGTGAAAATCCAGATCGCTAGAAACTTCATGATGTTCGTCGTTCTCCGGTAGACTTCTCACTAGTATTATGTTCTCTGCCAATTTTCCACCCCCTCCCCTCTCATCTTTCGCTCTATTTATAGTGTCTTTTCAAGTAGTTTCTTAAGAGCAGTTAACGAAAACTGCTACCACGTTCTCTGTGCACGTCTTTTTGCAGTTTTGCTCCTAGCTCTGTGGTTTAGAAACTGCACCCATGTTCCCATGCATGAGGTAACTGTTCCCTTGATCTTCGGCCTTAGCCACCGTTTACTATGTTCGATGTATATGTCGACTGTTCTTTTTAGCCAAAATTTCGATATTCGCGTATGTTAGTCTTCCCTTCGATTTAGACTTCGAGACTTCGAGAGTTTTGGATTGCTTTTGATTCTCGGTATCCTTAATGTTACATGATTTTGATTTCTTGCTTTTCTTCACCAACGGTCGTTAAGTGTTATTCCCTCGATTCTCGATTTCAATACTCGATATGTTTTTATCTTTGTGGTTACCAGGTGTCTTGTCAATTTTATCGATTTTTCAATAAATTGTATGGTTCTCGATTTTTGCTTCCCTTCACTTTTTCGATCTTTTTATTGATTTCTTACTAACAAAATGCCCCCTTGGAAGGATATAAATAGTTCCTATTTATATTCTTTCAACACGATTCCCGCCTTTGCTTATTAGAGGCCCACAATAACCTAGGGTTTAAGGTTTCTGGGGTTTTTAGGGTTTATGGGGTTTTAGGGTTTTTCTACTTTATGTTACCATCACGTCAGTCTGCTGCCTTACCTTATACGCCACATTAATTGCCCTCGCTTCTGTCGTTTCCAACACCCTAGGTAGGTTTCCCTTTTAAACTCTATTGATTTTTTACCCTAGCTTTTTACACGAACTTTAACCCTTTGCAACTTCATCTTCTACCTGCGCTTTTGCCTTCATCCTTGCAC